GAACAATGTAAAATAATTAGTTTATCAGATCATGCAATACTTCCTAAAAAGAAGAAATCCATATAATAAACCGGTCAAATCTGATTAACGATGGCTGCAAATGGCATTGACAAAGCTTGGAAAATTAAAAAGGGGTAAGTAACGCGTTTAAAATTGATCCTGCTGGAGGTGATCCAGTTAAGTGCTAAATAACAATTCCCGCCGCACGCTATCTATTCGTGACATGAGCCGAGAAAGGGACTAACGCTGGCCGAAATGAGAGCCTTATAAAAGCCATGCTCACTGCGTTCAGTTCAGTTCAACGTGATTCCGTTCAAGGCAAAGTATGCTTGCTTCTCTAAAAAATTAGCACGCTAAACTGCTTGAAAAACTCGTTTACGATAAGTATCAAAGTTCAAAACGAACGAAAAGCGTACGATAGCAATGATACTAACTGATCGTAAAAATAGCACGTGTGCTTGGTAAGAATTTGTGGGAACGTCGTTCACTTTCCCTCGTGCTGTAAAGTCGTTGTGGAAGAGACAGATAACGGTCCATTCCTTTATCTCCTGACGAGGAAGTGGTTTATATATATATATTACGTGGCCTTGAATTGTTAATAAGACACGTGTCAGTGACTATAATTAACATAACAATGCGCGTGTGCGGTGATCGTGAATCAGCTAAATAAATTACATATTTAAACTGTGCTGCGTTAACTGTGCTACAATAGACGTACTTTTGACAGTGCAAACGAATCGGTACGATTCCTCCTACTAAAGTGACTTTCACTTCGAATTTCGACGCGAAACGTGAAACTTTTATAGTATATCACAGAAAATGATATTCGAACTCTGTAGAAAGAGCGTTTCTATAGAATCGTTCATATTGGATTCAGCTTAATGAGCTTAACATAAGTTAACAAAGAGTGGCTTTAGCGGGGATTGAATCGAATTTGTTAACTTCACAAGGATTGAATAGTGATCCGACATGGCACCACCGGAAAGGTAACTTAGCGATAAACAGTCTATAGTTATATCACTCAACTCCAACAGTATAAAATTGTTATCTCGTTATCTTGATCAATATCGTGTGATTCATCGATATTTGATTTTTAACCCTTTTAGTACCGAATGACAATATATCGTCGCTTATCCGAAGGCGTTTTATTATTTGCATTGCGAGAAAACTCTACCTGAAAATAAATTTATAAAACGTTATGAACG